CTCCTTGTACCCTAAGGGTTTCTTTTCTAGCATTTCTTCCATTTACGAACTGTTACCAAAGATGTGTGTGTGATTCTGTACTGAAAAGTCGCCAAAGGGAGTTCGACAAGCCGGGCATCATTGCGCCTAGTTGCGCCATTATCAAAGGCAGTGGTGGCCCCGGTTAAATAGTGCTCTTTCCTTCTCTCGCGCGTGGCCTTTAGGCATAGTGTCGTGGCTGTGGTGTGAGGAGAAGGGGAATGAGCTCTGATTATGGAGAATACCATCTTTAGTCGAATGAATTTATGGAAACATAGACATGACTGGTATTGGTCGCATGTGATCATCGCAGTGATGAAATTGTAGTAGATGTCCGCTTAGTTCAAATGTTCATAATCACTAACCGTCCGTCTACATGATCGGCCACGCAACTGTCGATGTGACGAAGTCGTGAGATGTGTTTGTTTCTTGTGTTGTAGTGAGACTGCTGTATTTACGTAGAACGTCTACAGTATTATTGTAAAAGGAAGCCGCAGGGTAGTGGACGTCACTAGCTCTCAATGACGCACCCGAAGAACCGTTCTATTCAGCCTGAATACAGCTCGCTCTGTGTTTCTGTAATACAGCTCGAACCAGACGCAACGCTTTAGCCAAACATCGTTCATATTTACTGATGCCCCAGTTTGCACCAAGGTTGCACCGATATTGGCTATCCGATGGCAAAAAGGGCGCCGAGTCAGATTCTGCATGTCAAATGGCGCCATTTGCATTTTAAAGACATTGTCTATGAACGAGTTGCACTCAAAAGTTGAGTCATTTACCGGCAGAAGCTGAGTCAGAATAAAATTTGCAATGAAGTTTTTGTTCCAGTGGTGGTTGCTCTGTTCAAAAACAAGGGGGACATGTACGTGTACTAGAGCCAAACCGCGAGTGATGATGAAATGCGCAAAAACAAATAAAAATAATAGTATCTGTCAGTAGATGCGCACGTACAGTAGAAAACCAGTTCGCGCGCACCAAATTCATATCTACACAGTAAAATCGCAATTCACTAGGAAATGCGCAGTACAGCACCTTCACCGCATTTACTGATTAAAATCGAAGAGAACACAATGCATTACCCGTGCAGTACTCTAAAACAAACCACGTAAATGGAAGGAGATGCGCACGTAACACCTCCCTACTCCGTGTCACAGTCATCAAACAGTGCACGACGCGTGCCACTACACATGCGAACGCTGCGATTTTCTATGTTTTCAACGTGTAAACGGCGCCTCTTTCGCATCTGACTAGTTGATATGGGCCGTAGGCGATTACGTACACCAGTGCTGTGCTGCCCGTCCTCGAAGCGGAGAGGGCGGGCCCTGACACTCAGATTGGTCAACGCCAGGCACGCTTTGAACACGTGCTCGTACAATCCCTCTCCCCAGTGCCACTTCTGAGAAAGTACAGTCCATAAACTGCACATTATCCCAAAGTAGTTTTCTACTATGACACGATCAGAAGATACTTGGCGATTGTAGTCCACGTCGTCCAATGACAGCGTTGAACGTGCTGGGGTTCGCACCGGATGTACCACACGTAGATCTTCGGCTGCACCTTGATATCCCTTGTCCGCCAGTATGGCCCAGTAGTCATCCATAAATTCGCTCAATCGTCCCTCATCCGTAAACCGCAAATCACGTACCCCCTTTTTAGATGCCTCCTCATGAAAGGGTCGATTACGACGAAATATCTCCAGATCCGACACGGAGCCCGGATAGTGCTCCGTGCACCCAATAGCAAGACCAGTAGGCAGTACCGAAACTTCCACTTTGTACCCATACAGCTTATGCTTACCGGAGAAGTATCGCCTCCCTTCTGATATATTTCCACTTGGACGATTGCTCTGCTGAAAAGTGACGTCGACAGCATATCTCCCGTATTCAAAATTCGAAAACACCCGGTCCTCCAGACGACACTTGGCCATTGTCCATTTTTCTTCGACGCGTGCCACACATATATCATACATGCATTCTGATATCATACGTAGAAATCCAGTTATTAAACGTTCGAAAGTAGAACATTTAACAGAAAATAGACGAGCTGTAAAGGTCCATTGCTGACCATGCTTGAGTACAGTAAGTGTCATAAAGAGAACATCCTGGGCCTTGTACTGTGTTCTTTTACCTCTACCAACACTCCAATTCTTTGACACGTAGTCTTCAATCATAACCCATAGTTCGAAGAATTGAGAGGAATCAAAATTACACATTGCCTAAATAGATTGAGAACCTCCGTCATTGTAAAACGTGTCATAAATCGGACAATTGGAGTCGTTCTCATCATCGCTGGCGACCACGTCGTCGTCAATGTGATCGACGATTCATTGACGTGTCGGTTGGTGATGTCCGAAAGAGCCTGAACAGCGCGGGAGGAATTCATTTTTGAAATTGTAAAAGGAGTGGGAGAAATGAGGAGCAGCTGCAAGAAGTGGTTTTTCTATATCAACTGCGCAGTTGTTCCATTTTATATTGTTTAGTTTGAGTAGACTGAAACTGCGAGGCATATCACACAAAAAGGCGGGCTTTCCCGTTTTTGAAAGTGGACTCGCAATTGAAGATATGATGCACAACCTATGCTATAATCTGCGTTGCTGTATTATTTGCACACTTAGTTTACTTTTCTACTGATATTCCCCAAACTCAAAGTGCTTTCACGCAACTGCAATACTTGAGGTACTGTACGTAGTTACCCTACTGTACAGGTTGTTCTATTCTATACGAGGGTTGTCCAAAAACAAGTTGTATAATAAGTATCAGCTGTGAGCCACTGCCTCGGTTACAATCTTGCGGTTCGTAAGTTGCTGTTTCTAGAACGGTGTACGGGTGTAGCACTGTACTATTCTCCGACCCCAAGCTATTTCCGCAAGGGCCAATGGGCGCACCTCAATGATTGCTGCCGCTCTACTGTGCTGATGGCTTTAAAAATCAGTTCCTGTTTCCGTATCCTGAAACTTACCGAGACCCCACCTTCGAACGCCATCCGTACTCTAAGCTTAGTGGAACCTCTGACTCATAACGCCGATGAAAAGCCTCTTCACATGGCAAAGCTTACGAAATTCTTTTTATTACAGAAACTGCTCCAAATGTGCCTCAATCCTTGTCGACCCAGTCCGATGAAGTCAAGTTATATCTACCAGACAAACCGCTTGCGCTCCTCGACTTGCTTATCTCTCTAAGTTGCCGTCTCATGACTCAACTCATCTTGGCTTGGGCGCAAAATGACAATTCGCATAGGCGTGGATGACGATTTTGTAATTTCGGAGCACACCGTCGCGTACAAGCATTGTCATGCCATTGACGAGTGTGGCATCTCACCGGATGGAAACGTTGTCGTATCGTCGAGCAGGGACCGAAAGGTGAGGGCTGTGAATATCCAGCCCCTCGAGTCGACCACGTTTGACCTTCCAATCAACTCCGCCAGCAGAATGGATGTGTCTGTTTCGTCAACCAGCATCGCCACGTCCACGTTTGAGGATGGGGTCAGCGTTTGGAAGCCGCCTGATTTCAGGCAAAAGTTAATGTCCAAGTTTTGCAAAGGGAACAGCGCCATCGCATGTGTTTTGACTTCCGACGGCATGTTTCTTTTCTCTGCTTTCAAAGCGCAAACGTCATGCCAGCTTTTTCTCACACATGTACGAGATAACCAGGACTTTGGCCGTTGCGAGACTGGGAGAAATTTCTTTAGGCTTATAAGACCGTCCACCAGACACGTCGTCCTCTTCACCGAAACAAATACTGATGACAGTTTATCAGTTATGATCCATCTAAAAATGTGGGACACTACCAGAAACACCATCATCGAATTAATGCAACTGAAGGCGTATCCGGGAATATGCACCCAAGAAAATGCCAGAAGAGTGTTTGTGGCCGATCATGAATCGCTCCGCATTAAAGACTTGGACCGTAACTCTGTCATTTCCCTTCCCAATTACGCGTACAGCGGCTGCGGGGTTGCAATATCCGCAACTCCAGACGGCGGCACTCTGGTCGTGTCCGTCACGGATAACTGCTTCGGCATCTGGGATACCAACCGGCGCGTTCGCATCGCTACTCTCCGGGGTCATGGTGCGCCCTTCAAGACAATACGCGACAGATCGTGCGCCATATCCGCCGATTGCTCCACCCTTGTCACAGCTGGAACCGATAGGACCGTGCGTGTGTGGAAAGTGCCACCCCTCCCCTCCCCATTACAAAAGGTCTGCCGGGCGGTTTTCGACAACCCGCACCTCCTTGACAAAGACCTCTTGCTCACCAGTATCGTTAGCAGGCACGTGCAATCCGTCCCTGATCTCTTCGCCGGCCACAACCTAGTCCTCTTCGCAATCCGCATCGACGTCCTCACATGCGGCGACCTCAGAACCTTCGGCGGCACGGAAGACTACTTCTTCTACAACCTCTACTACCCCGCTTCCCGCCTCTTGCACGGAGACATATCTCTCCTACACACCATCTTCAAGCACGCCCACGAAATCGGTATCATTGAGAGCGTAGCCCCACTCACCGTTGCGAATCTCATCCGCCACGACTTCTGTACGGACTTTGCTCGCATCCAACACAACGTGGATGCTGTAGCCAGGCGCGTAAACATCGTTGAAAGACGAACATTGTATCTAGATAGACGGGTGGATAGACTCGAGGACAACTTACGTACATGCCTGACTGGTCTACAGCCCGCCATATCTGCGCTTGATTCTGCCCAGCAAGAGACTCAGCATCTCGCGTGCTGCCTTGCTGAAAGCCTAACAAGCCTTCACGAGAACATTCGAGCGCGAGACAAACGCATGCGTCTCGGCAGTCTGGCGCGATGCATGATTTCACTGGTACCACTGGTAGGCCATGCTCTTGGGGAAGTGGCGCTCGCGGCAGCCGAGGTGGCGTTCGAACTGCACACAGAGGACGTGATCATGGAAGGCGTGGCAGCGGCGAAAGAGGCAGTTATTACTTGCGCGCATGTCGACTTAAGTAACGTTTGTGCGGTTAGGCGTTCGCTCTCCGACGGGCTTGCTTCCATGCCAGAGGAAGAAAGGGGCACAGTGCTGCAGGCCGTGAGCGAGAGTCCGTGGAAAGACGTAAGAGAAGTGGTGGCGGTTCTAGAAGATGTAGTTGCAAAGGGGATGGAGGATAGGACAGAGTCAATGCATAGGCCTGTGTTAGTGGGCGTGGGGGCGAAAAGGGAAGGTGAAAGCCAAGATAAGATAACAGGAACAAGAGAAGATGGCACAGAAAATGAGGAGCGAAGCGATCAAGTCGCATGAGACTACCACTCCAGGGCATACACCAAGTGGGTATCACATGATGAAATTTGAAGACTGTGTGCCGCGTGTCAACCAAATGGTTGTTCTGAATCATGTTTATCTCCAGCTGGTTTCGATGTGGCTGTCGAATCGCATTCAAATGAATGCACATTGGAAGGGGGGCAGTTGAGTACAGTAAACTGAATCGCATCCTTCTTCGCTGGCACGGTTCCCAGTAACGTTCATTCCAACTCAATATGTTTTGCGCTGCGATTTTCCCCTTGACAACTGTGAACAGAGTATTGAACAGGGAGGATCCTCCTGGTTGGTCCAGTTACCGCAATTCCAGTAGCGAGAATGTGACAAGAAGCAGTAGACCGGGTACAGCAGACGGTAATTAGAAAAGCGTGAAGCCAAATCGTTCGAGCAGGTAGATGTGTAAGGAAGGGAATGTGGAGCATCGGTGAAAGATGGGGCGGATGAGAAGGTTTGGGAGTGGTTTAGGAGGGGGGGCCGGCAGTAGGCTTGGAGACGAACATGGGCGTGTTGCTGCTGCAGATTGTTTTCCAGAGTGTGCGAACAGCTACATATTAAGATGCCGGCGGGATGGATAGCAGAGACGATTGTGAGAGAGAAAGGCTTAGGGGCGACCGGCTGGCAATGTATTAGGCGACGACAACCGATTTGACGTTGCCGGGTTGGATTGGATGAGATCCCTAATACACAAAAGAGAGGTCCTGAGGAGAGCATAATAGATTGCAAAAGTAGAGGACCGTGATTGGACGGGGAAGCAGATGGTGTTTGGGATCTGTCGTACAGTAGTTACCTGGATCGAGCATTTGGTTGGTGATCAGCTGAAGATTTTTCAAAACATTTACAAACCTTCAAGAAGAAAATGATGCGTATCATCTGCATCTTGATGCTCAACATCCGATAAGATTTTTCTTAACTTGGTCAGTGATTCGAAATGACCTCATATGAAGCAAATCGCTTGTCGTGTAGACACCAGTGAATAGACCGTCTTTCGCAAAAAGGGAGTATTGCACCTCTACACGTACTTCTATGCCTATTTCTACCTTGGGAAGCCCATTCTATCGCAATTTGTTCACGATGTCTCCGTAACCTTCAAGATGCATATGGCCACATGTACATTCCACTGCACTTGTGAAGTTGTACTAAATTAGCACAAGTTCACATACACAGTTTGCTTTATGTAGAGATTCGCTCGAGCATCGAACTTTACCACTAGATCGACAAACCTCGCAGTGTTTTTCGGATTTTCAAAAAAGAGTTTATGTTCATCTTTAAAACTCGTCCGTCTCATAAGTAAAAATAGTACCTAGATTATAAATGCCTGAGCCCCATGGGCATTTGTATGAGGCTACTCACTCTTCTTTTTCATTGCCCAATTCTTTAACATTGAATTGATTAGCCTCATCTGAGACCATCTTGATGTGTGAGTAGGGGGATAGCGGAGAAAACTGAGGAGAAAACTGAGTGATGGAAACGAGCGTGGCTTTATGAGGAGCTTTGAGTTTTCATCGGTGCCAGATCGCAACAATGCAGCTGACAGACAAGGCCCTTACACTTTAGAAAGAATAGCTGATAACAAATCACTCGTACAAAAACTATGCAACCCTTTTCGCTGTCATTATTGAGGCTTCTTGGTGTGAATTAAAACATCTTTTTGACGGCCTTCAAGCATCGTCCATGCCTATCTCTCATTGGAATTGTACGCACTCAAGCCGCAAATGCATTCATTACCGTCCATTATGTTGTAGGCAATATAAACCGTTCGCCAGGAAGAATGTGTGGAGGAGACTTGATTGAGGAACTACGAGTGTAGATAGTGACAACTAGGCTTCACTGTTGTGGCCAACCATCTCAACGGTAGCAAAGGGAGTGATGATAGCGCTGTCTCGTTCCACCACCATATCTAAATGTATTCTCTTTTCCAGAACTCGTGAGCATCGCAGAACCAAACACAACACTATAGTACATTGCCTTTTGAAGATAGAAGGGCAAACCATGTCAACACTCTACTTCGTCCACCCCGAACATACCAAACTCTATTACCTCCTGATGGGGCTTGCGGCGGCCAGCATACAATAGGCTACACTCTACAGTCATCCGTGTAAGTTTGGCGGCCATGATGGCGGCGCATTTGCGGCAGTGTCAACAACTGTAAACGGTATACGAAACAAAAAATATGATTGCAACCAATAAAAGCAATCCGTTAGCTGTATGAAACAATAAAATTTGTCAGTTTTATGTAATTTTGCCATAAGAGCTCCTCTCTCCTTATTCTTCCCGCCGCACTGTCTTCAAGTTTCGAAGTGGCGCCTAGAATGACCGGCGCAGCTAACGTTTCACAGACGATAAAGTCCACTCGGACCAACAAACGCCCTAGACGGACTGGAAGCTTGGTTATCCTCAACGTCCATAAAGGATTGTTGTTAGCGTCCATCGGAACTTCTGCTCTTTGCAGATTACATTTAACAATGGGCATTCAAAAAAAAGTCAGCGGTTGCAGTCCTCATCCGCTATTCACTCCCGCTAGATGTCAAGACTCGTCATAATAGCCTTTCACGAAAGATTCATCTGATAATCCGGGCGGTCAGCAGGATGCAGGCCAACTCCACGAAGACTCTCTACTCATACAAGAGTAATTTAAACTCTGGAACAATATCACAAGATCTTTACTTTTGCTGCTAGCCAATTCAAAGATGAAACAAATTGATGATAGCGTGGAGTAGAGCTTCATGTTGTGACGTATCATTGTCCGGTAGAAAACATGATCAAAAGTATGCCATTTAGCAGCATCTCTTCTACATATGACTGGACTCTTCAAAAAGGAGAACAGATTCAGTGGAGGAAGCGCCATCTTGATAGCTTCGTTGTCCTTGTTGACATGAACACGGTCACTTTACAAGCTGCAAAAGTACCGCGACGAAATCACTTTTGGTGGCGGACACCTCACGTTTGGACTTCCCATATGAAAAAATTCTATACAAAGATGCATCCTAAACAAAGTGCATCAATCCTTATGTCTGCATGAAATGAATTCCAGTGATATGTCACTACACGTAGATTATTTTTCATTTGAAGAGGAGGGGGGTAGGTGGGTCTGCTGTGTGTGCCTATTTGAACAACGATTTTGCTGAATGCCTGCGGGGGTGTATAAGTACAGTACTTTCTGTTCGGATGGTACGTACAAGCGATTTCTACGGAAAGGCATATCAACACATCCCAATGACCATAATTTTGCTCGATATAAGCATTCCAAGGATGGACAAGACGGATACTTTTTTTGGGAGATTTGTCAGAGCTCTTGGCACTAACGAAAAGGAACGCGTGCCCTTTCTTTCATGTCAGGAAATCCTGTAAATTCATGAACTTATCCTCCTCTCGCTAGGGTGGGTTAGTCTTTGTGGAATTAGCTTCGTGGATCATTTCCCTACGCTCAGTCTATGAAGGACTGAAACTATACAGCGCTAGTGTCTAGACGACAAGTGACCTCATATGAGGTCACTTTCAACTTATTTTTTCTCGACTTGTGCTAGCTCAACAAGATGGAAAAAGATACTCTCGCCACCTCAGTTAACTTCTGCGTTGCAGAAGGGTGGAGTTTGGTGAGATCTGCACGTCTTTTCAAGTCATTTTAAAATGCCCAAAAAGGAGCCTTTTTGACCAACCTCAAAACGTTTTATGTTGATATCTTCGAAACCAAAACGCCTTTTTAAAAAGTCAGCTGATCGTTGAAACTTCATTAGATTCTTAGTCTCTCTGTGCATTGACAACCGCCATCCCAAATTTTTGCAAGATGTTATTGCCCACGGCGTATACGTTAAAAGAAATGGTGTCTAAACTGACATTTTTAAAGTTTCGATTTAATGTATATATTTTTGCAAAACAAAGCTGGCCTCATATGAGGTCAAATTTCCGGTCGCCTAGACACTAGTTAGGGCGTATTTTTATTGTTCTCTCGTGAAAATCATTAAACTAAGGAGAATGGGAACTTCACGACGAAAAAAGCCAGCTGTTAGACACTTGCAATTATTTTGCAGGGGCTTGGAGATGCTATTTTATCCTTGCACCAGAAAGCGCAATATATTTTTTACGTCGAGGGAGCTAAATTATAAAACCTAGCGCAAAAATGTAGGAGAACTACTTTTACTGAAACGTGGAGGGCATTCCGCGTTGAAATGATGATAACCAAGAAGCCTTTACTTCTACATGATATTCTTTCCTTACGTTGATAATTTAGACACAAAATGGGAGAGATGGTACTAGACGTGCGGAAATTTGAATATACTTTCGCTGTGGCCAAAAATATTCTAGAAATTCTTTACTCGTGTGACCCTCTTATTTAGTCGGCGTTCCGAACGCTCATACAGCACTTCACCATTTTAAAACTTCAAATACATTAAAATTTCCGCAACATGCATTCGGCAGTTTTCACGATCTGCGGTAGAAACCCAACAGTTTGAAAGCAGTCAAGCTTACACTTATCGCCATACAACGAATCATCCGTTTGAAAGCAATTTGCTTTTGGCATGAAAAACATCAATGAGTCTGCATAATTCCGTTGATGGAAGGGTCTTGGTGTCTAGAAATACCAAACAAGCTATAAAAAGATATTGCGGTTAAATCTCCTCGAAACCTCGTGTAACTATACAGTACATTTACCTGGAGGATTGCGTTGTACACATGCTTGATGAGACAAATTACGAACTACGCCGGTCATAGTGTTCAAGGAAACATTATTCGTAGACCACCAGTCATTTGCTTTCAGTGGTCAGTTCAATACACTACATATAAACAATTCACAATATATCCAAGAAACGGGTTCAGGAAGTTTCGATACAACCATCTGGGATCTTTTTGCGACGCTGCCGACGAGAGTGACATCAGTCGTTGGAGTTGAACGACGTTACTGCCACGTGCTGCAAAGATGACTCAGAAAATAACTGTGGCACGCGATCACGCACACAGTAGAGAGTAAGAAAGTGAGCCTTTTGATTCGGTTCTATAGCCCTTAAATTATAGTTGACTCTCAAATGCATCCAATCTATACTCAGTGCTATTGATACTAAAAGAAAAATAATTTCTCCATTATCATGCGTATAGAAAGAATCTGAATTTACTTTTTCTACAATATGATCTGGTGGGAGTGAGGGTAACAGCATGAACGCGTTTAGAGGATTCAGT